AAACCCTAAACCCTAAACCCTACAGCTCGGATCATGTAAGCTTCGGGCATCCTCCCAAGGGCGTTTTTTAGGGGGTTTTAGGACTTGGGCTTTAGGGTTTAGGGTTTAGGGTTTCGGGTTCAGGGTTTAGGATTTAGTTTAAGGCGCTCTATGTCTAAGAAGCCAGCACGAACCATGGCTATGATAAAATCAGGAAGATACTTGCCACCAATGGCAAGCACAGGTACCGCAAGACTGCAACATACACGACCACCACTGTACATGACATCGTGATTTTCTTTGCGTCCTGTACTGCAGTACGCATGCACATGGATGGATGCATGGATGTATGTATACATATATATACATATATATATATATATACATGCATACACACATACACATGAATATGCAAGTACGTGTGCAGTTGCTTACATGTCGATATTATCGAAATCTAGATGGTATGCGCAACATGAGGAGTAGCAAAGAACTGGCGACTACACAAGAGGCCATCGACGGTGCAGCACAGGACATAGCAATCTAATCTTGAACGTCAGTGTGTTCACAAAGTGCGTCCAAGCATAGTTACGTGAGCATATACGCATGCATGTATGCAGAAATCACACGGCTGCAAACAACGAACATAAATTCCCACACATGCCACATGCACAATGTGGTACACCGTCACATCGCAAGATGATGTACAACAGCGAGCAACGCGCTAGGTTCAAATTTGTACAAAACAAGCAATATGCACAACTGCATGTCCGCACACAGAAGTAAATGAGTAAAACCACACGTTAACACACATATGTACATACTACACATGTTTAGATGTGTAAGTACATACACCGCAGGAGCAAAACGACCTCTATCAAAAAACTTACGAGATAAGTTGCTTGAAAGCTTCATGTGCCTGGAAAAGTTGCTGATATCCTGTGATGACGAACACAAAAAAGCAAACCTCTGTCGAAACTACTCTAGAAGATATACAAACACGTCAAGCAGCAGGCCCAGCGGTTTACCGGTGCCTCGTGCAGACATACCGAACGTGGTCTTCAAGGACAGCATGGTACGTAAACGTCTCGAGTGTCACATGAGACCAAGCCCGGAGTACACCAACATTCTAGGTAACATTGACTGCTGGCACATATCTATACCGTATACAACTCGGGGGTCCTTGGCAGAACCTCAACCGCGGGATACGACAGGGCCCTTCGTGATGGGTACGGGAGGACTTGGGGTTTAAGGTTTAGGATTTAGGGTTTAGGGTTTAGGATTTAGGATTTTGGATTTAGGGTTTACGACTTGGGGTTTAGGGTTTAAGATTTAGGGCATTGGGTTTGCAAGGACTTTCCGACCTGTTCAGTTATTACACACGAACCCGGCCTGCATCATCATAGCCTTCTCAAACTCTTCACGAGAGACAACTCCGTCGTTGTTGGCGTCGATGCGGTTGAAGAGATCCTTGGAGATTCTGCCAGAAAACCTCTCAAATGGGCTTAGAATTTGAGTTCACGGGTGTTCGGGTTGCCCTAAACCCTAAACCCTAAACCCGAAGCCCCACTACACCATTATACCCTACCCGGGTTCAGATTTTGAGCTTCAACGTTTGGGGGCTCCTGGGCGTCCAGGCTTTCGAGAAACGCTGGCAGCTGTCGCACAAAGTGAGGAAGGCTCAAAAAAAGCACTCTGAAATAGCATCCCCGAGGAAGGGTTTAGGGACCCCAAAACAGTATTGGGAATGAATTTAAGCCCCTACATTATGCAAGGTTCCAAAAGCCAAACAACGTGAACCCTTACGCCACTCACTGAGGGATGCCTGAGAGAAGGACACACGCAAATTATCGAAGATTTCCCTAGACCGCACAATGCGAGTTCAGGGTATTGGGGTCGCTTGAACCCTCTGTGCGAGAGGAACCTGGTAAGTTGCATGTAGCGAAAGACAATACATCCAGCAGTATCATGGTAGAACTACTTTCAAGTTCAGGGACTTAGTAGGGACTAGCTCAAATGCGTACTTATGACCCTACGTAGTTGTAGCTGTAACCTTAGCTATTTACTCAGTCCCAGGCAGCACGTCAACTACTAAATCACGGAACCGCGAAGCGAGTTTTGGACGGAGCCACGCACGAACATAGAAACCCAGCAATATGCAGCTTAACACAACAAGACATGTGCATACATGTACAAACAAGCGGCTAAAAATGGACAACCAAGATGTAGCAGAGATGCAGCAACACGAAGTAAGAGTCAGACGGCGACACAGCATAAGCAGGTCATATGAAGATTTCCAGCAAACAACATGGAACAGTTTCAAGAAAAGTGTGATGCTTGACGGAACTGGCAGTGTATCACAAGTGTAAGATGCCGGAACGATGTCAGAACACGCTAATTATAGCACAAAATAGAATACAGCACAGCGCACAGACTTCATGGTCTACATCTGAAAGATGTCTCTTTCGAGAATACCAAATGCTAGAAGACTACATGACCAAGGAGGTGCTTGATAACGTGTGCCGCGACATAAAAACCTACAGTAGGCTTCCGAAAGGTTGCGTAGTGGAGGGTGAGCACCACATGTAGGGTCTGGGGCAGTGTCGCACCTAAGACCTGCGAGTGAGCAAACAATAAAATCGCAACAGGCTCCCGAGAAGTGAAAGGAGCTCAATCATCCCCTGTATGAGATAACATACCATACCACACTTTCATTCCATGTACCTTTCAATAATACAGCATACTCTGCTGGCACATAATACAACCCATACATAGCCGATAAGTTCGGATAAGGGAGCACCACGCCAAAACTTAGGGTTAAGGAGCTATTCAAGTAGCGATAGTCGCGGCAGTGACGATAAATGCAACATCATGTGCTTTGATGATAGTTGGGGATGGTGACGCGCAGGCAGAACCATCCATGAAGGTGCTGCCGAACTTGCTGTATGAAGCATCGTACTTCTGATATAGCAACGTTAGAGGACCCCCAAACCCAAAACCCTAAACCCAACTCCAATGACCGAGGTCCCTAAACTGAAACCCTTTTTAACCCTTTTAGAACCCCTGAAGGGCCCTTTAAAGGAACCCTTGAAAGGAAGCCGTGAAGAGGGTCCCTTTAAAGGAACCTTTGAAAGGAACTCTTAAAGGAACCCCTTCAAGGAACCCTTTAAAGGAACCACCCTTGATAGAACCTTAAACCCTAAACCCTAAACCCTAAACCCTAAACCCTAAACCCTAAACCCTAAACCCTAAACCCTAAACCCTAAACCCTACACCCCTTAAAGGACCTGCTCACAGCTCCCTCTCCGACCTTTCAGGCTTACATCTCGGATCCATGGTTTCGAGAGAAAGGTTAACTTGCAGGTCCGAGGTCGAGCCTTTTTGGTTTAAGGGTTTAGGGTTTAGAGTGTGGGGTGCAGGGTCTTTTTAGGTATTGGTGAACGTACCTGGGGCTGCTCAGGATTACGGGTGAGCGTGTTTTTCGGGTGTCTCCCAAACTAATGGGACGAAAAACCCTAAGCACCCCTGGAAACCGAGCCAGAGCGTAGAGACTTAAATCCCACACCCTAAACCCAAAGCATCCCAAAGCC